TCAGCAGGATCCTACAACGAACGTGTCATAGATCTACGATTGAAAAGCATCGGCCTCTTCCCCTTACACGGCTGCAAACCGGAGACGTCTCACACCTCCAACGGCACGAAGTCGACCACGGTGATCTTTGTGAACTTTCGGCAGTAGCATACAACATAAGGTAAACTACAAAGCAAAACCAAATCCAAATCTACTAAGATCCACCCTACCCATAGAGGAGCACCACCTACCTGCAAAATAAGGCAAGAGAACCAAAAGAAAAGCAAAAACTACACAAGGCCGGGAGGTTAGAGACCGCCAAGAGGCGGCTCATCCAACTCCGATCCCTAAAAAATGTATACTTACTTGCGGCCTCTTGAGGAGAGCAACCCTAGCCACTTAGGCGTGAGCCAAGTTTTTGAGTAGCACCAAAAGGGAACTCTCACTTTTAATATTGTAATATTAATATAACAATAGTAATAGATATTTTATCTTGCTATCAATTATATTACGCTGGAGCATGTAACAAGTTCACTTTGAGTTACATTTTAAAATTATTCTTTTAACATTTTTTCAATAGAAAAGGCTGTTAAAAGTGCCCATGAGTATATACAGTGACGAAGCCAAAAATTTTGGTGAGAGAGACTAACTAATGATAGAGTCAGATTTTTTTTTTTTTTTTTTTTTTTTTGTGGAGCTACTATGAAATTTTTTTTTTATCAAATAAAAAACATATATATTCCAATTTGTCAGTGAGAACACAATTATAATTTTTCTTATACAGTGAGGACAAGACTGAAATTTTATAAGAACTTTATGGTTAAATTAATTATTTAATGTCTAATTGATTATATTTGTTAGGATGCTGTATTTTTTCTATCTAAAAACATTATAATGCATAATTTATACACTTTGCCTAACTTATTATTATGTACTCATTCTTTTTTAAAAGGGGACATGCACACTAGTGAAAAATAAAATTAACTAAGAAACAAGAAACTAACTTTAACAAATAATCCAAGTTATTATTAAGGAAAAAAAGATCTTATTAAGAACTTAGAGATATTATTTAGTTTTGATTTAAAGTAATATTTTTCAATGTTGGGGGAATAAAATATATTTTTTAATTTTTTAGGGGGCTATATAATTATTTGGTATGAATAAGTAAATGTAATTGTAAATATGGAAAAGTTGAGGGGGGGCATAGTATATTACTTTTAACTTACCCTCCATGTGATCTCATCCATTCATTTTTAATCCAACAGTTTAGCTAGCTGTCAGATGAGAAATGGCAAGTTCTTGGTGCCAGATGGAAGCCCATCCACATATATATATATATATATATATATATATATATTATGTTAAATATGCACGTGTATAGCAAGTGCTTTCTACTAGTGTCATGACAAAAGTGTACCATTGTTTTAATCATAATACTTGGGAGGGAACCAATGAAAAACAAAACATATACTAGGAGGGTACAACGCATGCATATACATCAATAAATCAAAGTTGCATATATGTTTGGTAAGTAAATAGTATATGATTCAAGCAGGAGACTGGAGGATCAGCAACTTTTACTTTATATAAATACTAGAAAGTTGATTGGCAAAGATTGCCAACCATTTTAATTACTGGCCTGACATTAAAGTTGCATATTATTACATAATTTGGTATACCCATTAATTATTTACATAGATGATCTAGAAGAGAGAGAGCCAGTTCCAGCAATCCTGATACTGCTTGTTTCTATTAACAGATCAAATGAAATTAAAGAATGTGCAGGCACTACAGCATCTATGTTCTCTCCAGCAGTTTTGAGCAGACTTTTGGTTGGTACAACCTGCATTTAATTTGGTGGAAAGTGTGTGAAAAAAAATTGCAGAAATGTAACAAAATGTGGGGATATTGCTATTCTTTTACTTCTTATAAGATTAGATAAAGACAGAACTTGGACACCAAAAAAGAAATAGCCCCGCAACAAACAAAAACAAAAGGGTTCGAAACAAGGACTAAAACAACAACAACAACAACAATTTGAAGGGATATGTTTGCAGGTGCAATATATAATGGTTTTTTATTTTTCATATATTTTTTTAGATATATATATATATATGGTTACTCTAATATTTGATGGATATCATTAGTTTAGCCGTAAGATATTTGATCGAAGATGGTAATAAATTAAATAGTTGATAAAAAAAAATTATGACCATTAATAAGATTGAATTGTTATCATGTCACGTTATTAAATTTTTATATTTGATAGGTAACCACTATGAAAACATAACTATTGAAAACTTATCCATACATATATATATTGTGTATATATATATACAAGTGCATGAGAATTAATGAAATTGGATTCTTATCACGCCACAACATTAATGAGTGACGATAGATGAAAACTGTAATCATTAAAAACTCGTCAATATTTATTTATTTATTTATTGTATGTTAACACGCGCGCGCGCACACACATTGTTCGTTCAGAATGAGAAACAACTAATAGATAAAACTCGGTATGACCTTATGAGAGGAATGTGTTCAGACAATTTCCAAACGAGGCAAGGCAAGCAACACAAGAAAAACTATACATACTACAAAAAGTGCAGAAGAGAAGGTAACCAATAAAACTTTGAATGCAACCTAATCAAATATCTCATGTAATCACATTTATGAAATAAGATCAAACAGCGAGTATTAAATGGGAAATGAAATTCTCTTAGAAGTGATCATAAAAGGAGCGCCAGTGAGACAAGTTTAGTACAGAAAAGCCTATTTCGTCAAGTATAGGAGTGCATAGAAGCAATACAACTCAAAATTGAGTTGAAATGCAGTAAATGGTTCACAGAGGTTAGTCAAGTACCTTAGTTGGCTCATTGAAAGAATTCTCATCCATCAGATTACTGGATGTGAACACGGTCTTACTTGACCCAGAAAGTCGAACTGTATTCAGATCCAATCCATTTACTGCAATCTTGAGATTTACAGTGTCGCTTCCAAAGTTTACAATCTGCAGAGTCATTAGCCGCCCAGTGAGAAATTTGCAATGCATTGAGCATGAATCGTATTGACCACAATGGATATAGTCCATAACGGATCCATCAATACTCAAAACACAAAATATGACTCTTTTCAAAAGAAATAGAATGTATATTTTAGTCTTTGTTCAGACCATTCTCTAGACCAAAACAAGGGAATATGGCTAGTTACCTTGCATAATAAATGTCAAAATATCAAAGAAATGTATGAAGAGTAAAGAACAAAAAATGACCACATTTGGCAATAGGTGTGGACATCTATAAATAAAACAAGGGGCAATGTATATCGTTAGTGAAAATATGTCAGTTACTTGTTAAGCATACTTGATATAGACTGGGTAAAAGAACAGATTATATAGACGTCAGACATTAAGGTATGTCATTTTGAACATAAAACAAGAAATCGATCATTGCACAGCATAAGATCTCTCAAAGTAAGATGCAACCACTGGTTATACCTTTATTTTAAGGTAAGTTTCGTCATCTTCTGAACTTCTAAAAGAAATAGCGGAGGCGAGTAGCGATGCGTACGAATTTGTTTGTAGTGTTGATTTAAGAAGAGTAGCCCCACTTGATTCTGTGAAAAAACGTTGAACCCAGTAGCTAGGAGTTCCATACGCCTTTGAGGAGTTGAAGACAATTGCATCTGGATTCCACCTTTAATCAAAGAAAGTTTTCCAATTTCATAAACATATTTCACCAGTGTTGTTCCGAGATATTCAATTAATGGACCAACATTTTAAGAGAATGGGATAGATAGATACCGCCTGTCATTGTTATTCACGAAGAGCGGGGCATAGCTCACCATCTCAATGACCT